ACTGATGCTCCATTAATCAATAAATGGATGGACACATAATCCTCCTTGTTTTAAACTGAACAATGTGGTGCTGGCCCAGAAAGAGCTTGAGTTAAAGGGATGTTTACTAGAAAACAAAATATTGTATTTGTGCTGTGGTGTGTCTTGATCACATTTTTACCCATCATGCTGTTTTTGTCCTGAAATGCTTTGCTATGTCATTCTTCATTGTATCTTTGAAAAGTCACAAAAGCAGCGAAGAATAGATCTTTAACTGCCACAAGGTCATGTACAACTTTAAACCATTCCACTAGTGAGTACTGATGGAAAACACTTATTTTCTCCTCCCTCTCTCTCTCTCTCTCTCCCTCTCTTTCTCTCTCTCTCTCTCTCTCTCTCTCTCTCTCTCTCTCTCTCTCTCTCTCTCTCTCTCTCTCTCTCTCCCTCTCTCGCTCTCTCTCTCTCTCTCTCTTTGTGCCGCCTGTATGAGTCAGAGAACCTTCATCTTTGTCTCTGTCTCGTTCCCTCTTGGAAGAAAGTTGAGTGAGAGAGAGAGAGTGAGATGGCTTTGTATCTGTTCCAACCAGAGTCATATTTTTAAATGTTAAGGGCAGCTACGTACGGTACAACTCTCATATTACATCAGCCGTGTTAGTAAGCTTCTCAGCACTATTAATTCAGTACAGCATATTGGAGGTTCATTGAGTTTGTAGTGGATTGTAGGAACGACAGCTCCTTACTAAGCATCTGCTTCAGAATGTGTGCGATATACAGTAACTGTGAACCATGACGACAGTCAAACTATCCCAAGGAATCCATACTGTCAACATTCAGTCAATGAGAGTAGGAGGGTATAGATAGAGTTGACAGAGTCATGTCTTTGCTATGGACGTATTCCTCACACAAGTGTCTACAAAGCTTTTCTTCTCTCCTGGCTTTGAGGCATCACAACACTGCAAAGCCTGCTGTCATGCTGCTGAAATCATAGCTGCCTGCTTAAGACAGTCAGCAAGCAGGCTTGTGGCTAATATTAGCATGCTCACACCGTCGTATCCCTGCAGACTAATATTAGCGTTCTGTGCTCACTGGGGTTTAATTGTCTGTGTGATTTGACTCAAACACACACATACGCACACACACACCCTGAGCCCCCTTGCACTGATTGCTGGAGGGGTGTCAAATTCGCCTGGTGTCTGTCCTTTGTGTCTGTCCTTCTATAACAAGCCTCATAGAGCCATGAATGGAGAGGCTCCTTGGGTTGTCATGGAGAGCAGAAATAGAGGAGAAATCCATACAACGCAAGGACATCAGACAATTACTATCTCTGATAAGATTCAGGAGTTTCTGACTTACATCTGATTTGACCATGGCATTCTCATCTTATATCTGATTATATTATATAAGTCACAGTAATTACATGTGTTAGAAGTTCAAGTTAATATAACTTCCTTGAAATTCAAGTTAACATAACTTAATTGAAATTCAAGTTACTACAATTTTTCCATGTAATTCAAGTTAATACAACTTTTCCTTGAAGTCCAAGTCAACAGTAAATCAGTAACCACATGGCAGGTGGCGAGTGGTAATGATCTCGCTCCATTGTGACTCTTGGCGCGGCAGACGAGTGTGCGTGTGTTTGTGACTGGATAGCGCCCATATCCCGCCAGCCTGCATGCCAACTTGGCCAACTCTCAGTGAGCAGGGCATTCAAGGGTGGCACTGCAGCATGTATACCACCGGTACTAAGGATAGACAAGGAGGAGGACAATATGTCCCTTAACTCTGTTCCACAGCGTCTGGGTGCTGGTCGTGTAGTTTTGTTTACCTAAGCCCTATGTAATTCCGTTACCGCAGGCTACTTTCAGTCTTTCTTTCTGCCACTTTCTCTCTCCCTCTCGTTTAGACAGATTTTTCATCTTCTCTTCCTCTGTCTCTTTCTTTCTTTTTCTCCCTCACTCCTGTCTGGGCCGACGTTGTGATGGATAGTTGAGGCTCATCAGCCTCTTTCCAAAATGAATACGGCCCGGTGTCGTCTTTCAGCTGATGGCCTGATAGCTACAAACATAACTGATAGTTGTGGTTTATCAGCCAGTAGCTCTCTGAGGTGAGATAATTGCTGCCAGGAACAGGAGTGGCTGTCACTTTTATGACACTGGTTAAGGAGATTATCTTCCTCTTGACACCATTTAGACAATGAGACCCCATTTTTATGTTTTTATTTAACCTTTATTTAACTAGGCAAGTCAGTTAAGAACAAATTCTTATTTACAATGACGGCCTACCCTGGTCAAACCCGGATGACACTGGGCTAATTGTGCGCCGCCCTATGGGACTCCCAATCACTGCCGGATTGTGATACAGCCTGGAATCGAATCAGGGACTGTAGTGATGCCTCTAGCACTGAGATGCAGTTCCTTAGACCGCTGCGCCACTCGGGAGACCCCACGGGGCCCACTAGTGTAAAACTACTGTAACAAATGGTATAAAAGCCTCATTAAGGTGTCTATGTTGCCTGTGAGTTGGCGCTAGCTCCACTGAAGGAAGGTGTGATGGGTCATTCCACGAATAGAGTGCATTTTATGTTCTTGAGACATTATGTGAGTCAAATTTTATTATGAGATAAAACACTAAATTTAACAGTTGGATCACATACATCTACACTCTAACGAAACTAACTAACTAAACTAAAATTCCAAAAGTAGTGTGTTTTCATTAAAATAATTTAGTTGTTTTCTCTGAAAATCCAAGTTTTGGCTTGTCCCACGTCATGTCTGTCCGACCCACTTAACCATTATTGGTTAAGTGGGTTTTAACCATTATTGTGAAGTTTTAACCATTATTGTGAAGCCTTAGTCATTTTGTGGCTTTGACAAAGTCCTTTCTGAAGATGATGATTTACTTAATGTGATTAGTGATTCATTTACATTTGTACCCAAGGTTTAAGGTCAACCCTGTTACATGAACTGGACTCTCGTTTTAATATGGTAAAACTATTCCTTTTAAAATTATTTTTTCAAAAGAAACATTGAAAAACTAATAGGCTTGTCAAATCATAGTGTAAAAGCAGGTGAGCTGCTTCTACTCTTTTTGGACATTTCCTGGTGTTTTGTGGTTGAAAACTGAGTGGGTCGAGCATAACACATCAATGCTGTTACCTATAGATAGATAGGCTAGAAATGTTTTGACAAGTTGAAATGTTTTGTTAGGATTGTATTAAATTGTCCCTCCTTGTTGCGCACAACAAGCTTCCATTCCTCCTGTCACAAGGGGAGTTATGGCTGATTTAAGTTGAAATTATCAACCATCTTATTGTCAACCCTGTTAGGAAAATATGTTTGTTATGAAGTTGAACATGTGCTCTTTATGACATAATGTTAAAAGTAGGTGAAAAAAATAGTTTTTTATGCCAAAATTACACTACCCAAAAGGCATGTGGAGAGAGGTAGGGGTCAGAGAAGGGGGATAAGCAGTTAGAGGGATAGAAGAGTAGTCTTTGGAAAATTATGTGTGTGTGTGTGTGTGTGTGTGTGTGTGTGTGTGTGTGTGTGTGTGTGTGTGTGTGTGTGTGTGTGTGTGTGTGTGTGTGTGTGTGTGTGTGTGTGTGTGTGTGCACCTACGTGCTTGCATTTCTGCGTTCTTGTGCGTGCGTTTGTGTGTGTGACATGCCAAGTCTTAAACACATTCCCTTCATTCTGTCAAGTCCTATTTGAGCCCCACACATGCACACTCTTTCTCCTACTGTTAGCATAAGGCAAGTCCTAACTCCAATCTGTCACTCTTAGCTACCCTCTTCCTCTTGAGTTCATTGTCCTCTTTCTTTCTATGCAGATTCTCAGAGTAACATGGTGGGAAACTTCTGATAGTTTGACAGCAGGTGTTGCTTAACTGAAAGCATTTTGTTCAGCAAATAGTTAGATATGGCTTGGTTTAAAAAAAAAAAATGTGTGTGTGTTAAAACTTTTGTGATGAAAGAGGGACAGCTTGGTGTATGACATGCTGACATACACAGACAGATCTGTGTTATGACATGTTTTGAAGAAGAAGAAAATATTTCCATGTGTGAGGGAATTCTAGACGTTTGACAGATATGAGCTGTGTGAGATTGAAGAGGGTGATGACAGGTTCGAATATGCGGCCGCTTATTGAACTAAAGATATGCCATATCGTGAAGCAATGACAAAAGTCCTTAGTCTCCTTCCCACTGCATCAATGTGAAATGGATTCCTCTAAAGAAAACCAAGCCTTCCTTTCCTACAGCTTAAAGCTTCCTAAACTGAGTCTCCTTGAAGTGTCTTTTCAGAATAGATGGTAATTCTAACAGCCAATCAGGATAAAATGTCATTCTCAATCACTAGGGCACCTAACACACTGTGTTAAACCGATAGAGAGCCAGAAGGGTGGCATTTAGTCATCAGGGAAAGCAGCTTTCCTTTGTTGTTGATTAAGACAATTATCTCAAAGCTGTAAAGTCTAGATTGGATGATTGGAAGTGATTGTGTGTAGTACACCTCTATGTCTGCAGAAGTGTACAGTATTCTATAGGGATTATAGATTACCTATGTTATCTGAGGCAAAGCTGTTCACCCTTTATTGTACTACTGCTACTGCCACTCATTCACCTCCTTACTACCTCATTCAGCCATTCACTACCTCACTGCTGCACTCTTATACTTAATCCAGTCATTGCTTCATTCATTCAACAACAGCTGTTCTCCATGTGTAACACACATGATCAGAAAAGTATGACTTATCTCTCTCTCTCTCTCTCTCTCTCTCTCTCTCTCTCTCCCTCTCTCACAGGTATGGTGACTAGAGATCTGCTGGAGGCGTCCTACGGGTCTGTTTGTCCATAATGTCCTTAGTCTTACTGAGTAGGAAGGAAAATGTCCTCAAAATACACTGACACCCCCATCAACAGATAAACAAACAAAACCCTAGTAAAAGGAGAGGAGGCCAGTCTCTGTCTTCTTTATCACTCTCTCTCTCTCTTCCTTGCCTCGTGATGTGCAGAGTGTGAGGTCATGTCCCAGTCTGGAAAAGTCCTTCATCTGTACGTGGAGGTAAGGTCAGCCCCGGAGCAGGATGGGAGGGGGGGCTCGGGCGGAGGAGTGGAGGGGCCTGAGACTGGGAGTAACTCAGCCTCAGCACAGGATGGGCCGGCTGGGCTTTTGTCCCAGCTAGCCGGCCAGACAAAATGCCAGACTCCTACCAAAGCTCCAACGCACCGCCTAGCCCATAACTTCACCCACACCCAGTCTCCCTCCAGACATACAGTGAGCTTCCAGCTCCACCAAGGCAATGGCAACCAGTCACCTAGCATCTCCAAGCGGCAGAGTTTACCAGCAGCACTGACCCACTCCCCAGCCTTTTCCGGAAATGGGAGGACCACCACCCCCCACACACCCCCCTCCAAAGGGCAGGGGGTGGGGGGAAATGCCAAACGCTCGGTGGTCACCTTCAGCTACATTGAGAAGGCTAACGTCAAGACAGTGGAGAGCCCACAGAACTCTGCCTGTCAGAGGAGGTCTAGGGAGGAGAGGTCATCCCCACCTTCCCACCCCCGGAAGAGACTCAGCGATCCCATCTGGTTGGGTAGTCCTGGCTCCTCCTGCAGCTCCAGTCCCAAACTAGCGTTTCGTCCCCCAGGGTGTATCCAGCAGCAGCAACAGCAGCAACTATCAGTCTCCCCCAGCCACCGCCACCCCGTCTTGGATCCCGTCGGCAGGGCAGCCACCCAGCGTGCCCTGGATGAGTTTGGGTTTGGTTCCCCCCTGCTCAGGAGTAAGATCATCCATGGGCTCGAGCAGAGTCCCAGGGGCTCCCGCCACAACCAGCAGGCCCGTTGTCTGTCCTGGGCAGGTGGCTCTCCTGTCCAACGCCACAGCGCCTGCAATAATCTCCCCAATAATCACGCCATGGACGCAGATAGAAACCGGGCCGTTTGCGGGCCATTACCCAGGAGCCCAGCCTCCGACCAGCTTTCGTCCCATGCTAGGCAGGCCGCTCTGTGTATGTCTCCTAACTCGAGACCCAGGTTGTGCATGGGGCCCCAGGCCCAGAGCCCACACCACTGGGCAGGTCAGGACAAAGTTATCACAGGAAGTCCAGCCACCCAGAGACAAGTACACAAGCCCTGTAACAGCAGTTCCTCCCCTCAAGGGACCATTCTCCAACTTAGCAATAAACTAGGGGTGGGAACTGTACTGAACCAGCTAAGTGGTAGCAAACCCTCCTCCTCAGCCAACAGCCCTGAAGTGGCCCGGAAGCTAGCCGAGGAGGCTACTAAAGTATCCTCTATTTTAACAGAGGTAAGAAGGAACTCATTGACATTGCACAGCACTTTAGACGAAGTAGAGAGCCCCAACTCTGGATGTATGTCCGGAGAAGCCAACAGTTCTGTCCCAAAAGCACAACGGCAACATTTGCAGCATCAGAAAGTTAAGATGAACATCCCTTTACACGGCCTACACACACCAGCATTGAACGACACTGACTCTCACCAGGCTGGAAACTCTTTACCATCGTCACGCACACAGGACACAAACTCTCCAACACTAACCAATCATGGGACACAGCACGGAGGAGGGCGGGCTCTGGTTCAGAGCTCCATCCTATCAGACGCAGTAGTGGGTGGAGGAGTGTCCCCAGCCCTGCCTTCACGCTTCCTCCATCCCTTTCTTCCCCCAGCCGAGACCAGCTCCCCTCTGAGGGACCCCAGGCTGCTGAGAGCCCAGGTCAGAGTCACCGAGAGCCCCACGCTGCACCGCTGTCAGCCCCCGCAATACACTGGAGATTTCTGGTCCTTGGAGCCGGACAGGAGAGCCGACTTGTCCTGCTTCGACAGGGGGGACAGTGCCGAGCTGGCCCGTAGGCTCTACATACGCCAGAGTGTGGAAGAAGCGCCTGTCAGCTGGACTTCCAGGCAGCCCTGGAGCCACCTGGCAGGGGAGGAGAGCAGCAGCTCCAGTTCCAGCCCCAGACATGGACCTGGACCCGGTCAGCAGCCCTTGAGCACGGCCCAGCAGAAGAGGGCCGAGCAGAGGAGGAGGGAAGTTCTGCTGCTGGGCCCTGTGGTGCTGGACTCCCCAGAGGAGGACGAGGGCCTGGATGGGGATGGGGAGGAGGATGAGGAGGAGGTTTACGGACCAGGGCAGCAGCCAGGCCTGCTGAGGGTGGAGGAGCCTCGAGAGGGGGAGCAAATTGGGGTAGCGGGGTCCTCGTCACGCAGCTCCAGCGGGGTGACGGGCAGCCTAGGTGAAAGGGAATATGTGTCCCCAGAGTCCAGTCAGTCCAGCCACCAGAGCAACGAGACAGGAGCTGCCACCTCAGGGATACAGGTGAGACATTCCTCTTCTTACACTCCCCTACATATTTATTTGGACAGTGAAGCTAAAACTTTTAATTTGGCTCTATACTCCAGCATTTTGGATTTGAGATCAAATGTGTAATATGAAGGGACAGTACAGATTGTTACCTTTTATTTGAGGGTATTTTCATACATATCTGTTTTACCATGTAGAATGTCATTTTCATGTATCAACTCCCTCCATTTAAAGGAGTCATAAGAATTTGGACAAATTCACTTACACTCCCCTACATATTTATTTGGACAGTGTAGCTAAAACTTCAAATTTGGTTCTATTCTCAAGCATTTTGGATTTGTCATTTTGGATGACTACTTTAAAACACATATACAGTGGGGAGAACAAGTATTTGATACACTGCAGATTTTGCAGGTTTTCCTACTTACAAAGCATGTAGAGGTCTGTAATTTGTATCATAGGTACACTTCAACTGTGAGAGACGGAATCTAAAACAAAAATCCAGAAAATCACATTGTATGATTTTTAAGTAATGAATTTGCATTTTATTGCATGACATAAGTATTTGATCACCTACCAACCAGTAAGAATTCCGGCTCTCACAGACCTGTTCATTTTTCTTTAAGAAGCCCTCCTGTTCTCCACTCATTACCTGTATTAACTGCACCTGTTTGAACTCGTTACCTGTATAAAAGACACCTGTCCACACACTCAATCAAACAGACTCCAACCTTGGCCATTGTGGAGAGGTTGGAGTCTGTTTGATTGAGTGTGTGGACAGGTGTCTTTTATACAGGTAACGAGTTCAAACAGGTGCAGTTAATACAGGTAATGAGTGGAGAACAGGAGGGCTTCTTAAAGAAAAACGAACATGTCTGTGAGAGCCGGAATTCTTACTGGTTGGTAGGTGATCAAATACTTATGTCATGCAATAAAATGCAAATTAATTACTTAAAAATCATACAATGTGATTTTCTGGATTTTTGTTTTAGATTCCGTCTCTCACAGTTGAAGTGTACCTATGATATAAATTACAGACCTCTACATGCTTTGTAAGTAGGAAAACCTGCAAAATCGGCAGTGTATCAAATACTTGTTCTCCCCACTGTAAGTGAATTTGTCCAAATACTTCTAAATGGTAAAACAGATATGTATGAAAATAACCTCAAATAAAAGGTGACATTCTGTGCTGTCGCCTCATATGAAACATTTGATCTCAAATCCAAAATGCTGGAGTATAGAGCCAAATTAAAAGTTGTAGCTTCACTATCCAAATAAATACGTAGGGGAGTGTATATGCATTAAAATATTAATTAAAATATATAAAAGTTAACTAAATGTATCTTGTTATTTATTAATTTTGCCATGTGTACATGTCTGGATGTGTGTTCCAGACGGACAGTGGCGCTGCAGTCCCAGGCCCCTCCCTCCACTCCCAGAGGATAGCTCGTGCCAAGTGGGAGTTCCTATTTGGGACACCCGCTGAGGAGGCTGCCAGCAGGGGGGAGAAAAGTGAGAGCTCTGCATATTTACCACCCATAATCATTACCCATAGAGATAGATACAGTATTAGCTATATATAGTATTTATCTCTATGACTATGTCGATGTCGATGACCCTTTAACTGTTCCAACAGGATAGACACTATACTGTACATGTGATTCAAGTGATACATGAAACGTATCATAGCACGTGTTCAAAACACGCACATAGGTCAGTGTTCAGCAACCTATAACAACAACATTAACATTAGAATGGTAGAGCAGAATTTTTCTGTACTTTTTCAGTGATATCAACTGCTTCCTCTGTTCCATCATGTCAGATACCATCGAGGCCTCCACAGCTCCTCCTAGTGGCCAGTCCAGTGAATCCCCCACCCCCACGCCCCCCACCTCCATCCCCATCATTTCAGCCAATCACGAGGTGCAGCACGTGGAGGTGGAGCTGGTGACTCCTCCCCCAGCGGCGGCGGGGGCGTCGCCCAAGACAGGCATCATCCGGAGGACCCTCAAGTACTCGGAGACGGACCTGGACGCCGTGCCCCTGCGCTGCTACCGCGAGACCGACATCGATGAGGTGCTATTGGCTGAGCAGGAGGATGCCGACTCAGCATTTGGGAGTAACCGTAGCGTGAAAAGCACGTCGGGTACAGGCAGCAGCCCCCTCGGTGTCTGTCCCTATAAGAGAACAAGTGGGGAGGAGGAGGAGGAGGTGGAAGGAGAGGAGGAAGAGGAGGAGGAGGAGGAGGAGGAGGATGAGGAGGAGGTGGTGAGCTGGGTCTCAGTGAGGATGCAGGGGGACATTAAGAGGCAGCAACAGCAGCAGGTGATCAGTCAGCTGCTGAAGAGGTGAGATGGACACACACATAGACACGTAGAAACACACACGCACAAATGCATACACAAACTCCTTTTTTTTTCTTTTTTTTTTACAAATATGCTTACACACATATACATACACACATACACACACACTCATGCAGATACACAGAAACACACATTTCAAGTTTGACAGGATTTTGACCAATTTATGCATCATCACATACAGTGGGGGGAAAAAGTATTTAGTCAGCCACCAATTGTGCAAGTTCTCCCACTTAAAAAGATGAGAGAGGCCTGTAATTTTCATCATAGGTACACGTCAACTATGACAGACAAAATGAGAGAAAGAAAATCCAGAAAATCACATTGTAGGATTTTTTATGAATTTATTTGCAAATTATGGTGGAAAATAAGTATTTGGTCAATAACAAAAGTTTCTCAATACTTTGTTATATACCCTTTGTTGGCAATGACACAGGTCAAACGTTTTCTGTAAGTCTTCACAAGGTTTTCACACACTGTTGCTGGTATTTTGGCCCATTCCTCCATGCAGATCTCCTCTAGAGCAATGATGTTTTGGGGCTGTCGCTGGGCAACACAGACTTTCAACTCCCTCCAAAGATTTTCTATGGGGTTGAGATCTGGAGACTGGCTAGGCCACTCCAGGACCTTGAAATGCTTCGTACGAAGCCACTCCTTCGTTGCCCGGGCGGTGTGTTTGGGATCATTGTCATGCTGAAAGACCCAGCCACGTTTCATCTTCAATGCCCTTGCTGATGGAAGGAGGTTTTCACTCAAAATCTCACGATACATGGCCCCATTCATTCTTTCCTTACACGGATCAGTCGTCCTGGTCCCTTTGCAGAAAAACAGCCCCAAAGCATGATGTTTCCACCCCCATGCTTCACAGTAGGTATGGTGTTCTTTGGATGCAACTCAGCATTCTTTGTCCTCCAAACACGACGAGTTGAGTTTTTACCAAAAAGTTATATTTTGGTTTCATCTGACCATATGACATTCTCCCAATCCTCTTCTGGATCATCCAAATGCACTCTAGCAAACTTCAGACGGGCCTGGACATGCACTGCAGGATTTGAGTCCCTGGCGGCGTAGTGTGTTACTGATGGTAGGCTTTGTTACTTTGGTCCCAGCTCTCTGCAGGTCATTCACTAGGTCCCCCTGTGTGGTTCTGGGATTTATGCTCACCGTTCTTGTGATCATTTTGACCCCACGGGGTGAGATCTTGCGTGGAGCCCCAGATTGAGGGAGATTATCAGTGGTCTTGTATGTCTTCCATTTCCTACTAATTGCTCCCACAGTTGATTTCTTCAAACCAAGCTGCTTACCTATTGCAGATTCAGTCTTCCCAGCCTGGTGCAGGTCTACAATTTTGTTTCTAGTGTCCTTTGACAGCTCTTTGGTCTTGGCCATAGTGGAGTTTGGAGTGTGACTGTTTGAGGTTGTGGACAGGTGTCTTTTATACTGATAACAAGTTCAAACATGGCCATTAATACAGGTAACGAGTGGAGGACAGAGGAGCCTCTTAAAGAAGAAGTTACAGGTCTGTGAGAGCCAGAAATCTTGCTTGTTTGTAGGTGACCAAACACTTATTTTCCACCATAATTTGCAAATAAATTCATTAAATATCCTACAATGTGATTTTCTGTATTTTTTTTCTCAATTTGTCTGTCATAGTTGACGTGTACCTATGATGAAAATTACAGGCCTCTCTCATCTTTTTAAGTGGGAGAACTTGCACAATTGGTGGCTGACTAAATACTTTTTTCCCCCACTGTATTCATGAGTGCTATCTATTTCTAGCATCTTGTGAATAGAACAAAGGTGCTAATGTTTTTAGTTTGTGTCATAATTTTTTCTCCCACAAGAACACTGATTAAGCAGGATCTGGCAAGAACTACAGTACAATGGTATGAATGTGTGTCTCGTTCTGCTACCCCATGTTGAGATCTTCCTAGTAACCTACTTATCAATAGACCTCTCAAACCAGTTTGATTACATTGTTTTTCTTTAGCACTCACAGTTTTCTATTGTCAAACAGTTACAGTGTACAGTGTACCATAGTCAGTCACTAGACTACAGTTTATGTTATCGCTTTGGTGCAATTTTCACAAGTATGTGGTATATTTTCACAACTCTTAGTACAAAACAATAAACAGATCATCAAAAAGGCAGTTGTTTCAAAACTCTAAGCACATTTTCAATTGAATAAGTACTTCACACAAAATCATAGTCACCTTTTCAGCAAACTTAATCAGTTTCATCTAGAAATACATGTTTCATATTGCAATACATGCTCATATAAAGTAATTGCTTTTTACAATGCAATGCTCACATTACTTTTGATATGATTCTCTTGTCTTTTGTTAAAATACATTTTACTATTTATTAATCTGACTGCTCTCAATTGACGATTAATTAAACGTTTGGTAAACCTATAGATTTGACATGTAAAGTGTTTTTTTTGTACAGATTTGAGAACTACATAATGAAAATGTATGCCTGTAAAGTAGAAACATAAAAAGTATGATATATACTCGAATGTACTACTATAATGATGACTATTGTGTAACAAATAAAATCTAAGTGTATTGGTTGCATACACAGATAAGCAGATGTTACAGCAGGTGTAGCCAAATGCTTGTGCTTCTTGCTCTTACAGTGCAGTAATTCAATATCAATACAATACCAATATCAAATAATCCAGAAAGTCCAAAACAATAAAGAAATGCATCCGCTACAGAGTAAACATGTATCCAAAATGAAGTTGCTGGGGTCTTTTATGGGAGGGGGATCACACTGCTTTACTAAAATTGCATTGGTCAATACAGTACTGTAATACCGTAATATATGCCATTTACGTAGCAGACACTTATATCCAAAGTGACAACAGTCCACACATTTTTGGTATGTGACCCCAGTGGGAATCGAACCCACAACTCTGGTGTTGTTAGTGCCATGCTCTTATGAACTGAGCAACGTACAGGACCACTGCAATACATAAGTACAATACAATACTGAAAAATACAATACATGATTACAATACAGGTGGAAGTTGTATGATTGCCATCCCCATGAGCGTGCCACCCTCCTTCAGGCCATGGATGAGGCATGCAGTGACATCAATCCAGGTTTGGATTCGACATGCCAAAAGGTTTTTCCACAGGTGCATGAGCAATGAGGTTATTTACTGCGATTTCGATGAGAACGTATGGCCAAATGCTCAAGACAGGCTTGATGCAAACTAATGCCTGCTAAACTTGATGTTTCTTTCATTTATTTCGATTACATTATGAATGAAGTCTTCAATGATCACACCTTAGATCACACAGAGATAGAAATTATGGAAATGTAATGTTCAGTCAATTTTAATGGGTAGTGCAAGGGTATTGCCTAATGTGAAAACAGTGTAATGTACTATAATTTACAGTACTGTAGCATACTACATTCAAAGGGCAATTTTGAAACGTATCTTATGTTGCGTTTTGGTGATTAAACCAATGTACTCATTATGTTTCACAGTAAACACATTAGTTGTGTGGTGAAAGATGTCCACAAACAAAATTATTGCACAATAAAAAAACGATTTAATGAAAATTGGCTACGTTACAATAGTTACCAATTTGAAGTCTTGTACTAAGAGTTTAGAAAATTCACCACATACTTGTGAAAATAGTACCAAAGCGATTTAAAAAACTGTAATAGTGGGAATGACTTCTTTCAACTGAGATCATTTCCAAGGTGACTCACTGGTCTCACCTTCAAATAAATTCATTTGAGATTAATTCTTTCGGAATATTAGACAGTACTAAGAGACCAAGTAGAACAGGGGTGTCAAACATACGGCCGCAGGACGGAAGGGGTCCAATCCAGTCCGCGAGTGGTTTGAGTAAAATAATAATAATAATAATAAATATATATACAGTACCAGTCAAAGGGGTTTTCTTTGTTTTTACTATTTTCTACATTGTAGAATAATAGTGAAGACATTAAAACTATGAAATAACACATATGGAATCATGTAGTAACCAAAAAAGTGTTAAACAAATCAAAATATATTTTATATTTGAGATTCTTCAAATAGCCACCCTTTGCCTTGATGACAGCTTTGCACACTCTTGGCATTCTCTCAACCAGCTTCACCTGGAATGCTTTTCCAACAGTCTTATAGGAGTTCCCACATATGCTGAGCACTTGTTGGCTGCTTTTCCTTCACTCTGCGGTCCGACCCAAACCATCTCAATTGGGTTGATGTCGTGGGATTGTGGAGGCCAGGTCATCTGATGCAGCACTCCATCACTCTCTTTCTTGGTAAAATAGCCCTTACACAGCCTGGAGGTGTGTTGGGTCATTGTCCTGTTGACTCTGCGGTCAAAACATCTCAATTCGGTTGAGGTCAGGGGATTGTGGATTGTCCTGTTGAAAAACAAATGATAGTCCCACTAAGCCCAAACCAGATGGAATGGCGTATCGCTGCAGAATGCTGTGGTAGCCATGCTGGTTAAGTGTGCCTTGAATTCTAAATAAATCACAGACAGTGTCACCAGCAAAGCACCCCCACACCATCACACCTCCTCCTCCATGCTTCACGGTGGGAACTACACATGCGGAGATCATCCGTTCACCCACACCGCTTCTCACAAAGCCACGGCGGTTGGAACCAAAAATCTCAAATTTCGACTCCAGACCAATTGAAAAATGTCCACCAGTCTAATGTCCATTGCTCGGGTTTCTTGGCCCAAGCAGGTCTCTTCTTCTTATTGGTGTCCTTTAGTAGTGGTTTCTTTGCAGCAATTCGATCATGAAGGCCTGATTCACACAGTCCCCTCTGAACAGTTGATGCTGAGATGTGTCTGTGACTTGAACTCTGTGAAGCATTTATTTGGGCTGCAATTTCTGAGGCTGGTAACTCTAACGAACGTATCCTCTGCAGCAGAGGTAACTCTGGGTGTTCCATTCCTGTGGCGGTCCTCATGAGAGCCAGTTTCATCATAGCGCTTGATGGTT